TCGAGGTCTCTCCTGCCCGGGCTGGCTTTGAACCGAGATCCTCAGATCTCAGCCTCCAGAGTAGCTAGGATTACAGGCGTGAGCCACCAGCGCCCGGCAACATCTGGCTTTTTCTGTTTATGTGGTACTGAGGAATCAAACCCAGGGTTTTATGCATGCTAGGCAAGCACTCTGGCACTAAGCGATATTCCCGGCCCCTAGTTATCATTCTTAACACTGAACATACGTACAAATGTCAAGTGCACACGGGGCAGTGATGGTGCGCCCCTGTAATCCCAGTGCTTGGGAGGCTAGCACAGTCATTCAAAGCCATAAAAAACGAGCTGGGCAAGTGGCGCTGTGGCTCAAGTGGTAGCACGCTAGCCTCAAGCTGAAGATCTCAGGGACAGCGCCCAGGCCCAGAGTTCAAGCCCCATGACCGACAAAAATAAATACATACGTACATAAATATTGCCGCCTTTTAGGTATTAACATAGCATTTTAAATCTTATTTCTATTATTTCTAGGCTGACAATCGGAAGAGGTATAAAGAAGAAAATAACGATCATCTTGATGACTTCAAAGCTGCAGAACATGCGTGGCAGAAACACAAGCAGCTCAACGAGTCCATTATCGTTACGCTTTTTCAGGGTCAGTTCAAGTCCACAGTACAGTGCCTCACCTGCCACAAGAAGTCGAGGACGTTTGAGGCCTTTATGTATCTGTCTCTACCGCTCGCATCCACGAGTAAATGTACATTACAGGTGAGTTTAAGACGGAGAAAAAGTAACTTAGATAAAAATGCTATTTATTCCAAGTACCAGTAGCTCACACCTGTAATCCCAGCTACTCAGGAGGCTTAGATCTAAGGATCATGGTTCAAAGCCAGCCAGGGCAGGAAAATTTGTGAAGCTCTTATCTCCAGTTATCCACCAAAAAGCCAAAAGTCGAGCTGTAGCTTTAGTTGGTGGAGCATAACCATTGAGCAAAAAAGCTCAAGGTCTGGGTGCTCGCCCAGACCCCCAATTCCAGTCGCTGTTCTATGCTGACTTTAACTTAGTCTATGTTTTGTGTTTGCGCTTTAGCTGGGGATGGCAGTGGGTGGTTTGGGCACACAGGGTGTGGTTGCGGTAACTTAGCTTCCTCCAGGGCCCAGGCTCTCCCCACTCCAGCTCTCTTCTGCCTTGGGCACGGTGCTCTGTCACTGGGTGAGGCTCCATGCGCCCTGCAGCCTGCAGCTGGCTTCTTCTGCTAGGCGCCGCTCCCTGAGACAGGGTGGAGGCTGAATTGCCCACGTCTGCTACGTGTTTTTCCCCAGGATTGCCTTAGGTTATTTTCCAAAGAAGAAAAACTCACCGACAACAACCGATTTTACTGCAGTCACTGCAGAGCCCGGAGGGACTCCCTGAAGAAGATTGAAATCTGGAAGCTGCCGCCGGTGCTTTTAGTGCATCTGAAACGGTAAGGGCGCGCACCGCGCAGGAGCACAAGTCTTGTGGTACTGCAGCTACCATGACACCACGAGCCACGGGCAGGGAGGCGATCAGAGCAGGAAAGAAAGAAGGCAGAGGGAGAGCAGAGGGACGCTGCCAGTGTCTCAACTCACTCCTTCAGAGATAGAAAAGCTTTATGTAATCACATCCGGTGACATGCATAAAGTGCTGGGCAATATAACCTTCTAATACAGATAAAGTTTAACATTCAAGCCATGCCTATAATCCTAGCTACTCAGGAGACCGAGATCTGAGGATTGTGATTCAAAGCCAGCCCGGGCAAGAAAGTCCATGAGACTCTTATCTCCAATTAACCACTAGAAAACTGGAAGTGGCGCTGTGGCTCAAGTGATAGAGCGCTCGCTTTGAGCTGAAGAGCACAGGGACAGCGCCCAGGCCCAGAGTTCAAGCCCCACAACCGACCAAAAAAAAACAAATTAACAATACTGGCTACTCAGGAATCTCAGATCTATGGATCACGGTTCAAAGCCAGCTCAGGCAGGAAGGTGTGAGACCCATATCTCCAGTTAACCAGCAAGAACCTGGAAGTGGAGCTGTAGCTCAGGTGGTAGATTGCTAGCCTTGAACAAACATGCTAAGTGACAGCACCAAAGCCCTGAGTTCAATCCCCAGGACTGCCATGGGAAAAAAAAAGCAACACATGATTTTGAAATGTAATTTTTATTTATTATTATTATTATTTGGGGGGGGGGCTGGTCATGGGGCCTGAACTCTGGGCCTGCGCGCTGTCCCTCAGCTCTTCAGCTCAAGGCTAACACTCTACCACTTGAGCCACAGCACCACTTCCAGCTTTTTTCTTTTTTCTTATGTGGTGCTGAGGAATCGAACCCAGGGCCTCAGGCATGCAAGGCAAGCACTCTACCACTGAGCCACCTTCCCAGCCCCAGGAGATTCTTATTGCTTGTATTACTTTCAGTATTGACAGTTAGTTCAATGTCTTTTGTGCATGTTTTGTAACAAAAGGTATAGCCATTCTATAGCTGAATACATATTAATTATTAAATATTGTCCTTGGCTGTATCCAAAAACCCTATGTGGGCGGGAGCCGGGCGGAGCTCCATGGTAGAATGTGCGAAGGCCTCATGTGCGAAGGGTCGCAGAGCTGGAAGAAAAAAATGTTGCTCATTTTGAAATAACCGTGTTCCATGACATTATTTTGGTGTTTAAAGGATGCAAGGAGCCGGGCGCTCAGGCCTGTAATCCTAGCTACTCAGGAGGCTGAGATCTGAGGATCATGGTTCAAAGCCAGCTTGCAGGAAAGTCCATGAGACTCTTATCTCCAATTAACCACCAGAAAACTGGAAGTGGCGCTGTGGCTCAAGTGGTAGAGCGCTCGCCTTGAGCTGAAGAGCTGAGGGTCAGCACCCAGGCCCAGAGTTCAAGCCCCACAACCGACAAAAACATTAAAAATTTAAAAAAATAAAAGATGCAAGAACAATGCGGCACTTTGTCCAAGGAGCTTGGGGCTCCAGTCTCCCCAAGTCCAGCCTCCCAGGCCTTGTGCAGTCAGAGTGATGGGTGCCGTCTCCCACTCGCCATTTGAACTTGGGCCTTTACCTTTGTTAGGAAAGCGGTCTACTTGCACTGTTCCCCAGTTCTCTTTGCTTTAGTTTGGGATCTCGTACTTTTGCCCAGGCTGGCCTTGAACCTTGATCTACCTACTACCAACCTCCACCTACCTTCTGAGTGACTGGGATTACAGAGAGACCATGTTTGCCCAGGGTCTGTTTTCCAGGGCTGATTTAATACAATCCTCTTGCCTCTCCCTACCCTGTGGTTGGGATTGCACACACATGCCACCATGCTGGACCAAGTACTACTGTTAATGAGTTTTGCCTTTGTAGCAGATGTGTCCAACAGTCCTAGCTGACCCAGGGATCCGGGAGCAGGGTGTAGAGCTGCTGTGCTGTTTGGTATGAGGTACATGGTTTGCTGCCCGCAGCCTTGGTCTCCTCTGTACAATAGAAGCGGACCCTGTGTGTACCGGGTCCTTTCCAGCATTCTCACCGTGTGCCGTGACGTTCGTTCCACAGCTTCTCCTATGATGGTAGATGGAAGCAGAAACTGCAGACGTCCGTGGACTTCCCGTTGGAAAACCTGGACTTGTCACAGTACGTCATTGGTCCAAAGAACAGCTTGAAGAAGTACAACTTGTTTTCTGTCTCCGTAAGTATGTCCTGACTCGAACCAGTGGCTCTTAGAGAAAGCATGCGTTGCACACGCTTGCTGGCGTCGTAAGTGGCCAGTGCGTGTTCACTGCTCTTGTGTCTTGCTGGGCAGAATCACTACGGCGGCCTGGACGGCGGCCATTACACGGCCTACTGCAAGAATGCGGCGCGGCAGCGGTGGTTCAAGTTCGATGACCACGAAGTTTCAGACATCTCCGTGGGCGCGGTGAGATCCTCAGCCGCCTACATCCTCTTCTACACTTCGCTGGGCCCGCGGGCCGCCGACATGGCCACATAGGAGGGAGAGCTTCGCGCTGATTGCGTGCCGGCCCTTGGCAGCCGCTGCTCACTCGCTCCCATGGCGGCGGTGGCGCGCAGCGGCTCCGGGCGCGAGTTCGAGAACAGTGGGCGCCATTCCTTCAGGTCAGTGTAAGGACGACACCAAGCAGGTGTCACAGCAACTTTCGTAGTCTGCTCCAAAGGTCAAATAACGAAGTAGCTACGCGTTACCCTTCCCCCGGCCTGAAGCCATCGCCACCCTCACCCTCCTTTTCACTGATACGGCCTTCCCCTGCCCCGCCTGGTGTATGAATACTCTAGAAGATTAAAGCAGATAGGAATGTACGTGTACAGATTATTGCACACTTGCACAGCAACCCGATGTACATATTTAACGTGTCCTTTTGTGAAGCCTAGCACTCAGGACGCTTTTGTTTTCCTTCCGGCCCAGGCTGAGTAACTGCAGCGCTTTCCTAGGGCAATGACAGGGCAGAGCTATTTTTCCGTTGGCTTTAGGCTGTATTTGTGCACTAAATCTTTATTCTACAAACATGGAAACTTTCTTTAATTTTTTAAAATGGGAATTTCATTTACATCTACATTAAAATCTTAATGAAAAATTAACTTAAAACTGTTTAAGTGTCCTGTCTTTAATGCTGTATCTTGACAGCCCTCTGTGGATTTTCCACGCTGTGGTTCAAGTGGTAGAGCGCTAGCGTTGAGCTGAAGAGCTGAGGGACAGCGCCCAGACCCACAGTTCAGGCCCCACAACCCAGGGGATGGGGGCGGGGAGGGGAGGTGCATTAGGGACTGCGCCAGAACAGTGTTGTATATTGAAGGAGGAAAAAGGTTAGCGCTTACCTCAGCAACTCAGTTGCTACACATGAAGTCAGCTTTGCAATTTCATACAAGAATGAGGTGAACGTGCTGAGAGGCGTTACCTGTAAAATACTCAGGGCCAAGCAGCAAGCATGGCGCTTAGTGAATGCTCAGGGAGAAGATGGATGCACAGGTTTCAAAATGTAAAGTTGGAAACACTCCACATCTTCTAACTAAGCAGAAGCGCTCAGGTACTCGGCCCAACACTGTCACAAACACTGGTTTGGGTCTACGCGAGCTTTCTTTTCCCTCTGTGAGGATTAAACTCTGAGCCATAGAGCAGCCCTGCCCAGCCCTGGGCATAGCCTCCCAGCTGGGAACTAAATTATTGAGCCCCATGAAGAATCTTGGGAAAGTAACTGAGATGTGTTATAATCGAAATCCGCCTTTAATTAAAAAACAACAACAATGCTGGAAGGCAGGCAGTGGACCTCCATAGGCAACCTGCAGGCCGCCGTGTGCAAAACAGCAGCGTCTCTCCCCGCAGTGGGCCCACAGAGGGAGGCTCACCGAGGGAGGCTCACAGAAGACTCGGGAATACAGGCCAGGCTCAGAAGTTGTGTGAAGAGTTTAATGAGGGAGCAGAACTTCCTGATTGCACGTTGTGCAGTTTTCAAGACACTTTTCCTAGCACTTACACTTCTGTATGGGGATAGAAAAGGGCTGGCAACTGTAGAACAGGAGGTAGGCGGTGGCGGTTTGCACAGAAGTATCTGGAATCTCACTGACTCGCGTGTCATCAAAGCTATACCAGGCTTGGGTTACTGAGTTCTTGCAGAAAGCCGTGTAGTGCCCACCATCCAGATCGCCAAAGTGGTTCTAGGGAGGAAGGGGGCCCCTTAGTGCTCACATTGCCAACGCTGGAGGAACTGCCTCGTGGGCCCCTCGCCTAAACTGAAGCTGCTCGTGCCGCCTGCCTGCACCGCTGCTCCGCCAGCTACTGACAACGCTAGAGGAAATTCGGGGTAAGATAACTTCGTTTTCCCAAATGAACGCAAGAGTTGAGTTCACAGGATAGGCTAAGAAATGGAAAAGACGTGCGTCCATATGGCCGCCGCAGTTAGAGGAAAACGTGCATGGGCTGCTGCCTTGTGACCTGCATGGTGAAGAAGATGGGGAAAGAGGAGACTGGCACTGCTGCGAGAGAGTGGCTGTATTACAGACTTCTGGGCAATAAGGATCAGTTTTGTTTTAAACTCAGGAGCGGGGGGAATGCTGCAACATGGCTTGTTCAGTGATCAGAGTTGGCATGCTCTTAAATTTCTCCCCATTGAAAAGGTCTTAGAAATCAAAAATCTAAGAAACGCCATCTTAGCCTCTTGTTAGAAGCTCACAGAAGATGAGGACTTTGAGAACTCTCGAGGCTACAGAGGACAGTGTTTGGATTGCAAATATACCATGAGTTGTTGGGCTCCAGGAAGTTCATGCTTCCCCTAGATAACTGGGGTCCTGCTTGCTCCTTACTGTTCCCCAGTCAAACTCAGGGCCTGGCTTCTTTTTGCTCAAGGCTAGCACTCTACCCCTTGAGCCACAGCACCACTTCTGGCGTTTTCTGTTCATGAGGTACCAGGGCTTCCTGCATGCTGGACAAGCACCCTACCACTAAAGCACATTCGCAGCCCTCTCCTTTGTTTATGTGTAACACTTTAGTTAGATGTAAGTACTCTCATGCAGTTTGCTCTGCCCATGTAGACACTTTTGTTAAGGCTTGGTCTTCACTCCAAACATGGTGGTTTTTGTCTTTAAAAGCTGTGTGCTAGCTCTGTTCTGGGCTGTAGGTCTTTGAGACGGGAATCTGCCTGCAGTGCTACCAGCCTCCTAATAAAGACTCCTGATTTGGCTTCTCAACATGTGGCTTCTCTGTTTTCTTGAAACTGAAGTCCTGGATTTGCCATACAACAGCCATAGCTTTTAGTTTTTAGGGAAATTATTAAAGAACTAAAAATGCTTAACTTTCATAAATACTGAATAAAAATTAAATTTGTTAATAAAGCAAAAACAAAGGGAAATGACTAGAGAAAGTAGGTTAACATAAGGACAAAATACAAAAACCAATCTAACTTTATTACTAGTTGGAATTTGGGGAAGTTATGGAAATACATGTAGGTTCTAAAAACTCACATAACAAAACAGCCTGCTCAACACTTGACAGTGTAGCTGAATACAGAATCAGCCGTTTCTGTATATAAAAGATGAACAGGCTGAGAAAGAAAGCAGAAAAACTAGCCGGGCACTGGGTGCACACACCTGTAATCCTAGCTACTTAGGAGCCTGAGAGCAGAGGATCGAGGTTCAAGGCCAGTCCAGGCAGGAAACTCCGGGAGACTCATCTCCAATAAACCACCAGAAAACTGGAAGTGGTGCTGTGGCTTTGAGCTGAAGAGCTTAAGGACAGCGCCCAGGCCCGAGAGTGCAAGCCCCACAACCCACCCACCCCCCAAAAAAAAAAAAATCCGAATGTCAGCACAGGCAGAAACAGAAAAACCAATCCTGAAATTTATACAGAAGCGTAAAAGATCCCTTACAGCAACAACAACAATTCTCAACAGAAAGCACTGCTAGCCCGGCGCGCCCGGGATGACGCCTGCAATCCTCACTACTCAGGAGGCTGAGATCTGAGGATCCAGGTTCAAAGCCAGCCTGGGCAGGAAAGTCCGTGAGACTCTTATCCCCAATAAACCATTAGAAAACGAAGTGGCGCTGTGGCTCAAGCGGTAGAGCGCTCGCCTTGAGCTGAAGAGCTCAGGGACAGCGTCCAAGCCCGGAGTTCAAGCCCCACGACCGACAAAAAAAAACAAAGCAATACTAGCAGTGTAACAATACTGGATTCCAACTTATACCATGGAGCCATAATGCAAGATACGAGGGGCTCAGTGGTAAAACACTTGCCTTGCATGCACGAGGCCCTGGATTTGATTCCTCAGCACCACATAAACAGAAAGAGCCAGAAATGACCCTGAGTGCTAGCCTTGAGCTGAAGAGCAGAGGGACAGTGCCCAGGCTCAGAGTTCAGGCCCCACAATCAAAAAAAGCAGATACGAAGTCCAGTAGAAAACAATGAAAGAGCCGGGCGCTGGTGGCTCACGCCTGTAATCCTAGCTACTCAGGAGGCTGAGATCTGAGGATCGTGGTTCAAAGCCAGCCCGGGCAGGAAAGACCGTGAGACTCCGATGTCCAATAAACCACCAGAAAACCGGAAATGGCGCTGTAGCTCAAATGGTAGAGCGCTCGCCTTGAGCTGAAGAGCTGAGGGACAGCGCCCAAGCAATGAAAGATCCAGAAATAACACAGCTACAGCCTCTAGATGTGTGAGAAGAAATGAGATTTAAGTCCTATGCTGGAGGGGCTGAGAGAAAACACCTAGGCTTTGAGATACAACGCTGCAACTTGTCTGTGTACCAGATGGAATCACTAGAAAGAGGTTCCTGTTTTGGGACAAAAAGGAGCCAAAAGCACATGTCAGAGAAAAGACCACCTCTATAATAAATGGTGCTGGGAAATGGGATATGCCCATGAAGAAGATGGAAATTAGATCCTTATCTGTCACTGTACAGAAACCAAATGGATCCAAGACTTCAAAGGGAAGACACAGAAGTATGACACTACTATGGGAAAGTAAAGATAAAAGCACAAGGAATTATTTTAAGAGCAAGAAATGATAAAAGGCCACGCACTGGTGGCTCACACCTACAGTTCTAGCTACTCAGATCTGAGGAATCACTGTTCAAAACAACCCCAGGCAGACAAATGCAGTTTGAGACTCTTCTGTCCAATTAAACAACAAAAAGTCAGGAGTGGAGATGTGGCTCAAGTGGTAGAGCACCAGCCCTGAGTAGAAAAAGCAAAGCATGAAGGTAAGGCCCCGAGTGGTTTAGTGGGAGAGTGCTTGCCTAGCATGCATGAAGCCTTGAGTTCAATTCCTCAGTACCACATATACAGAAGTAGCGCTGTGGCTCAAGTGGTAGAGCGCTAAAAAGAAGCTTAACAGTGCCGAAGCACTGAGTTCAGTCCCCAGGACTGGGGAGGGAGGGAAGGAAGGGAAGGGAGGGTGGGAAAAGAAGGAAGGAAGGAGAGAGGGAGGGTAAGTCATTCACTGTACCAGGACCTTTTTATACCTTCAATCATTATACCTTGATCGTTACAGTTAGTTTACATTCTCTTTAGATTATTCTGACCAAACAAAAACAACCATCAGAACTTATTCATACAATAGATCAAATGGACTCTAAATATTTATAAAATATTTACAGGGTATCTATTCTTTTTATCAGCACAGGCGGAAACAGTGTAGGGCAGAGGACATGTTAGAACTCAATGCATACTTAACAAATCCAAAAACAAATTATATCCTGGGGCCAGTTGCTCACATCTATAATCCTAGCTACTCAGGAGGCTAAGATCTGAGGACTGAGTTTGAAGCCAGCCTAGGCAGTCTATGAGATTATTTCCAATTAACCACCAAAAAAGGCTCATGTGCTAACCTAGAGGGAAAAAGCTCCGGAACAATACCCAGTCCCTGAGTTCAAATCCTAGGTCTGGGCTGAGATGATGGCTCAGTGGTAGAGTGGTGGTGGAAGTGGTGCTGTAGCTCAAGTGGTAGAGCAACTCGCCTTGAGCTGAAGAGCTGAGGGACAGCGCCCAGGCCCCGAGTTCAAGCCCCATGACCAAAAAAAAAAAAAAATCCTAGGCCTGACATACACAAAAAAATACGTGTGTGTGTGTGTGTGTGTGTGTGTGTGTAAAACATCCAACAAGATTAAGTTGATTTTTTTTTTTTTTGGTTGGTCGTGGGGCTTGAACTCGGCCTGGGCGCTGTCCCTCAGCTCTTCAGCTCAAGACGAGTGCTCTACCTCTTGAGCCACAGCACCACTTGCAGTTTTCTAGTGGTTTATTGGAGATCAGAGTCTCATGGACTTTGCTGCCTGAGCTGGCTTTGAACCATGATCCTCAGATCTCAGCCTCCTGAGTAGCTAGGATTACAGGCGTGAGCCACCAGCGCCCAGCAATTAAGTTGATTTTTATCCCAGGATGGCTCAGCCTATGCAAATCAGTCAATGTAAGAGAGCAACAAATATAATCAAAGATAAAATTCATAGTCATCTCAATAGATATAAAAATAATTAATTATCCTCAAGTAGTTGCACAAAAGGATTTCAAGTCAACTAATCCTCAAATCTCAGCCTCCTGAGTAGCTAGGATTACAGGCAGGAGCCATTGGCAGAAAAAGCCTTTTAGCTAATAAACCCAAAATTCAAAGGACTTTTACCACCAAAACTACCGTCAGCAAAAAGGAAGGCATCAGAATACCATCCTTACAATATACAACAGAGCCACAGTAAGCAAAATGGCATGGGAACAGCAGAGCAGAAAACCAGACACATAGACCAATGGACCCGATTCCTGATAAAGATTCCAAAACATGCACTGGGGGAAAAGCCAGTCTCATCATCAAATGGTGCTGAGAAAAACTGACTATCCATCCATTCACACTGGATCCCTACCTCTCACCCTGCATGTATATCAACTGAAAACAGACCAAAGACCTTAGTGTGTCACATCAAACTCTGAAACTAGAAGAAAAAGAGCAAACATTTAAAGATGCTGGTCCAGGCAATGATTTCCTGGATAGGACTCCAAAAACCATAGGACAAAATGGACAAACAGGATTACGTCAAAAAACTTCCGCATAGCAAAGGAAGCCATCTACACACTGAAGAATGGAAGACAGGCCCCGCAGTGTTCATCCAACAGGGGGCTAATGTCCAGAATATGTAAAGAACTATTTTTTTTTTGGTCAGTTGTGGGACTTGAACTCTGGGCCTGGGCACTGTCCCTCAGCTCTTCAGCTCAAGGCTAGTACTCTACCACTTGAGCCACTTCCATTTTTCTGGTGACTTATTGGAGGTAAAACTCTCACAGACTTTCCTGCCCGGGCTGGCTTTGAACCCCAATCCTCAGATCTCAGCCTCCTGAGTAGCTAGGATGACAGGCATGAGCCACCAGCACCTGGCTAAAGAACTATTTGTTAGACAAGTAAAAATAAAAAAATATAATGCCAGGCACCAGTGGCTCACGCTTGTGGTCTTAGCTGCTCAGGGGGTGGGTGCAGGAGGTTTGATGCCAGCCTCAATTCTGCTCCATGCTTGCTGGGCTCCTGGCTGAGCCCAGGTGACCATGGAGCAAAAAGGGGACCCCTAGAGTTGTACTAGGCCTGCCCCCACACAGCCTCTGGGGCTTGATGCTGTTGGGTACTGAGTACTTCTGGGTCTGAACTATGGCATGGTAGGTTTTTTGGGGTGCCAGTATTAGGACTTGAACTCAGGGCCTGGGTTCTATCCCTGAGCCTTTTTTTTTTTCTCAAGGCTAGCACTCTACCACTTGAGCCATTAGCTCCACCTCTGGCTTTTGAGTAGTTAATTGGAGATAAGAATCTCATGGTCAGCTGGGCACCAGTGGCTCACACCTGTACTCCTAGCTACTCAGGGGGCTGAGATCTGAGGATCTCAATTCAAAGCCAGCCAGGAAAGGAAAATTGTGAGACTCTTACCTCTAATTAACCTCCAGAAAACCAGAAGTGGCGCTGTGGCTCAAGTGGTAGAGTGCTCACCTTGAGCTGAAGAGCTCAGGGACAGTGCCCAGGCCCAGAGTTCAAGCCCCAGGACTGACAAAAATAATAATAATTATAATCTCATGGTCTTTTCTGCCTCACACCTCAACCTTCAGATTTCAGCTTCCTGAGTAGCTAGGATTACAGGTGTGAGTCACTGGCACCTGCCTATCCATTTGGTTTTTAAAAAGGGAAGCCAGGGAAAGCATGAATGAGCCGAGGATTTGGGAGATGATTCCAGGGTTTTCTTTAAAATGCATACATTTTGCTATTTTGGGAGCTCACTCACCACCACAGCACAGAGGTTGTATTTGGGATGTTTCCGGAAAATTGGACAAATGTAAGGAGTGAGGTCCAGGTTAGTCAGCGGGTAATGGATGTCTGTCCTCAGTTTTCTTTTTGTTGTACCTTGGATGTCAAACCTGCAAAAATAACAAATGCATGATATCTGACGCAAGCTTCACATGAATGAAATGTACACACATTGCAAAGCCTGAGCATAGTTAGAAACACTTTTTTTCTTTTTCTAGGTTGGTCGCAGGGCTTGAAATCCAGGCCTGAGGGGTTGGGAAGGTGGCTCAGTTGTAGAGCGCTTGCCTTGCACGCATGAGGCCCTGGGTTCGATTCCTCAGCACCACATAAGCAAAAAGAAAAAAAAAGCCAGAAGTGGTGCTGTGGCTCAAGTGGTAGAGCACTACCCTTGAGCTGAAGAGCTGAGGGACAGCACCCAGACCCAGAGTTCAGGCCTCACGACTGGACCCCCCCCAAAAAAAAAAAAAAAAAAAAAAAAAAAGAAATGTACTCATAAAAAAAAAAAAAAATCCAGGCCTGGGAACTTAGTGCTCTATCACTTTGAGCGCCACTTCCAGTTTTCTGGTGGTTTATTGGAGATCAGAGTCTCAAGAACTTTTCTGCCTGGGCTGGCTTTGAACTGTGATCCTCAGATCTCAGCCTCCTGAGTAGCTAGGATTAAAAGTGTGAGCCACCAGCACTGGGCTAGAAACAATTTCTTGGAAGATTATCTGGAACAGGCCTGCCATAAACTACTTCTTGGCGGGTGCCTTTGGCTCATGCCTGTAATCCAAGCTACAGGGGATGGCTGAGATCTGAGGATCAAAGTTCAGAGCTATCTCACACAGAAAAGTCTGTGAGACTCTTCTATTGGTTATCCAACAAAAATCTGAAAGTGGCTCAAGTGGTAGAGCACCAACCTTGAGCAAAAAAGCCAAGCAAGAGTATGAAGCTCTGAGTTCAGTCCCCAGTACTGGCACAAAATCATTTACTCCTCTCATATCAAAATCCACAGGCCTCACTGAAGCTAGGCCTGGAATGGGAGTCACGGGAGGCCAGCTAACCTCAACGAGACTGAATAAGGAAAACACGGAGGACACAGGGCAAACGAATCCCATCAGCTGATGGCCGCAGAGGAGGCCTGGACAGTGGCGGACTGACCAGATGGCTGCTCTGTCTCTCATCTTCCTCACACACATGCTGTTGGCGTTCACACAATTGTTAAGTAAGTTTTGTTAAAAACCTTTCACATTTTCCACTGTTAGTACATCAGAAGACCTCACATCTAGGCTTTAATCAGAATTACTTTTTTTAAAAAATTGTGCCCATTTTGGAAAAAAAAAAATGGATTCGGGTCTCAGGCAGGAAAGTTAGGTAAATGAATCCAGTCTTTGCCCAAAAGTAAAAAACTGTTTGACCAAAAAAAAAAAAAAGAGAGAAACCCATATATTGGTGTCTTCCCAAGACAATTTATATCCAAACTATTTGTTTTTAAAGCTAGAAATGAATGCCTACCGTTTACCAGAAAACTTTACACTCATAAAAAGAAATACCCAATAATCAAAAGGAAGGATTTTCTAATGCATTTACACACACAGCTAATCTCAAAAAAATATATATGCTTAAGCAAAGGAAGCTGAACTCAAAAGGCTATGCCTGGTATGGCATGGAACATTCTAGAAAAGGAAAACCCAGCCCGATAGAAATCAGGTGAACCATTTCCAGGGTTTTAGGATGGGCAGGTGATGGTAAAGAATCACAAGAGAACTTTGTTGGCGATGCTAGCAATGCTGTTTGCTGTAATGGTTCCAGGACAGACTAAAACAAAACAATAGCAACAAAGCCAGGCACCAGTGGCTCACGCCTGTAATCCTAGACACTCAGGAGGCTGAGATCTGAGGATCGCAGTTCAAAGCCAGCCCGGGCAGGAAAGTCCATGAGACTCTTATCTCCAATTAGCCACCAGAAAACCAGAAGTGGCGCTGTGGCTCAAATGGTAGAGCGCTAGCTTTGAGCTGAGGGACAGCGCCCAGGCCCAGAGTTTAAGCCCCATGACCGACAAAACAGCAAAAAGAACGGGGTCTCCCTAAAGGGTTTCCCATTGGCCTATCTGAATGCCAAAAGCAACCTAGGGAAGCTTGTCTTTCTGTAATCCCACAGACCAACTGAAAAACCAACTCTTCTAAAATCCGTACCAGCCAGTACTCGTCAGTACTCAGGTCAAGCTGTTTTTCCCAACACACACACACACACACACACACACACACACATACACACACACTTACCAGGCCAGGGTGGGAGACCCTCAACCTGACCAGAGGCCACAGTGTGGACCAGTCTTGGAGTTAAAGAAAAAAAATCTCAGGGAGACCTAGTTCCAGGGCCCCTCTCTCTGGAGCTCTTCCCCAGATCTTAATGAAGTCAGCTTCTTCAGGAAGAACCAATTAAGCAGACCCTGCCTGCCCCGGGACGGCGGGGGGGGGGGGGGGGGGGGGTGGGAGGGGTAATACTTGCCATACTGCCCCCTGCCGGTGAGCAAAAGCTGACATGGCTCACACCTGTAATCCTAGCTACTCAGGAGGCTGAGATCTGGGGATCAAGGTTTGAAACCAGCCTGGGCAAGAAAGTCCACCAGACTCATCTCCCAAAAAGTGGAGCTGTGGCTCAAGAGGTAGAGTGCTAGTCTTGAGTGGAAAAGGCTCAGGGAGAGCGCCCAGGCCCTGAGTTCAAGCCCTATGACGAAAAAAACCCCAAAACCAAAATCCAGTACTAGCCAGTTGCTGGTGACTCCCATCTATAATCCTAGCTACTCAGGAGGCTGAGATCTGAGGATCACGGTTCAAAGCCAGCCCCGCTGCAAAGTGCCCAAGAGTCTCATTTCCAATTAATCACTCAAAAACTACAAGTGAAGGTATGGTTCAAAGCAAAAAAAGCTCAGGAATTGCGCCCAGGCCCTGAGTTCAAGGCCCACAACTGACAAATACCCCAGTACTGCTAAAAAGAATAATAAATTCATAATACAGTGTACCCAATCACAGTAGGTGGTAGGATTTGTTTGTGTATATTTAGTTAGTGTGGGGGTCGCAGCCAGGACTCCTGGCATGCGCCACGCCACGCGTGTTGTACCACGAGTTCCACTCACAGGCGCAGAAGTTTACACAGGTGAATTGTTGACATGCAAACTGCATCTCAGTCAAACTGTGCTGAAATATTTATCCAGCAGATGTCAAAGTCCCTTACCTTTTTAGATGAAAAATAATTATTTTGGGTGCTTTGGAAATACTGGCCCTCACCGCTGTTTCTTGCTTGGTTTCACAAAAAGAGCAATGAATTTGGTTGTTCCAGGTCAGTGTGTCTTGCTGGAAGAAACACTGGAGACAGTCCTGGGGAGGGAGGGGGGAGCGTTTGATGACCAAGCTGGACCAGCTACAAACTGGGCTGCTTATTATAGTAGAACTTCGGGAGGAAAAAGTCCTGGGCACCGCCCCGCCCCGGAGCTCTTTTGCTGGAGGCTGCCGCTCTACCACTGTGAGCCACAGCACTACCTCTGGTTTTCTGGTGGTTAATTGGAGATAAGAGCTCACAGATTTTCCTGCCTGGGCTGGTTTCAAACCTCAATCCTCAGATCTCAGCCTCCTGAGTAGTTAGGATTACAGGCTTGAGCCACAGGTACCTGGCTTCATAGTAACTTTTTTTTTTTTTTGGTAGGTCGTGGGGCTTGAACTCTGGGCCTGGGCGCTGTCCCTCAGCTCTTCAGCTCAAGGCGCTTGAGCCACAGCGCCACTTCCAGTTTTCTACTGGTTTATTGGAGATAAGAGTCTCACGGACTTTCCTGCCTGAGCTGGCTTTGAACCTCGATCCTCAGATCTCAGCCTCTTGACGAGCGAGGATTACAGGCGTGAGCCACCAGCGTCCTACTTAATCAAAATTTTAATCCAATAAAGAACTCAAGGTAGCTGGTGGCTCACGCCTGTAATCCTAGCTACTCGGGAGACTGAGATCTGAGGATCGAAGTTTGAAGCCAACCTGGGCAGCAGTCTATGAAACTCATCTCCAATTTAATATCAGAAAACTGGAAGTGGTTCTCCTGGGGCTTGAACTCAGCCTGGCCGCTGTCGCTGAGCCTCTTGGTGCTCAACGCTAGCGATCTACCACTTGGGCCACAGCGCCATTTCTCACCTTTTCTGGAGTAGTTTATTGGAGATAAGAGTGTCACAGGGACTTTTCTGTTCTTTTCTGCCGGGGCTGGCTTCAAACTGCAGTCCTCAGATACCAATCTCCCGAGTAGCCAGGATTTCAGGTGTGAGTCACCAGGGTCTGCTGAAGAATCCATTTTTGATTTTTTTTTTTTTAAAGGAGGATTCTAGGCTGGGCACTAATGGCTCACACCTGTAATCCTAACTACTCAGGAGACTGAGATCTGAGGATCACGGTTCAAAGCCAGCCCAGGCAGGAAAGTCTGTGAGACTCTGTGAGACTCTTATCTCCAATTAACCACTAAAAAGCCAGAAATGGAGCCGTGGCGCAAGTGAAAAAGTTAAGGGATAAGTGCACACACACACACACACACACACACACACACACACACACACACACACACACACACACACACACACACACCTGAAAAGATAATGATCTCTCTATCTCAGCATGAAGAGCTGAATTGTCTTTACCTTCTTCAGAGCCTCATGAAGTTCATTGAGCACATAGATCAGGAATTCCTGGGCATCTTGTTGCGTCTTCTTCATAAATGTGGGGTAGAGGTTGCCAAGAGCGGACCGGAATATCTCTGGGGAGACACAATCTGAGTCTCCGAGCCACATGTCTGTCATCAGGTAGGCGAAAGCTGTGGCCACCTCGCTGCAGTCCCTTGGGAGAGACAGTGTGCCAGTGTCCCACCTCCGCCTCTCCCCAGGGTGGGCCCGGACGCCCGGCCTCCTTGTTTAGCACCCTTCCCATGCGTGATCTGGAGTAGCCAGCAGCAGCCTCTGTGGGTTCAGTGTGTGTGTGTGTGTGTGTGTCTGTGTCTGTCTGTCTGTCCTTTCCCTTCCCTCTCACTGGGGGGCCCTGGGGCTGAGACTACAAGGAGGTGCCTGCCTGCCTTCTTCATTTTTTAGTTTTTGGCCAGTCGTGGGATTTGAACTCTGGGCCTGGGCGCTGTCCCTGTGCTCTTCAGCTCAAGGCGAGCGCTCTACCACTTGAGCCACAGCACCGCTTCCCATTTTCTGGTGGTTAATTGCAGATAGGAGTCTCCCGGCCTTTCCTGCCCGGGCTGGCTTTGAACCGCGATCCTCAGATGCCAGCCGTGTGTGTAGCGAGGATGATGGGCCCCTTCTTACTTTTGAAGGGCGGTGATGTACTTTCCTGAGAGGAAGTACTCCACCAGCGGGGAGATGCTGCAGAGACATTGCAGGATGGCGTTCATGTAGCACGTGTTGCCCAGGTTCCGCAGGCCCGTCACCCCCTGCAGGTGGACGGGGGGCTCCTTCGCTTCCGTCACCGCCACCGGGTCCAAGTGGTCTGTGCTGGTACCAGAGACCGAGAGAGAAAGCACAATACACACACACACACACACACACACACACACACACACGACAACAACCCTCCCTCAAGCTCCTGAAATAGAAAGAGATCTTGTTTGCTTTTTATTTTCTTTTTTGGGGGTGGGGTGAGGAAGGAAGTCCTGGGGCTTGAACTCAGGGCCTGTGCACACTGTTCCCTGAGCTTCTTTTGCTCTAGGCTAGCGCTCTACCACTTTCTGAACCACAGCACCACTTCCAGCTTTTTTCTGCTTATGTGGTGCTGAGGAATGGAACCCAGGGCTTCATGCATGCAAGGCAAGCACTCTACCACTGAGCCACCTTCCCAGCCCACTCTGATCTATAAAGTCTCTAAAACAAGGAGCTGGGGTTGTACCTCACTGGTCTAGAGCACACGCTTAGCACGTGTGAGGTCCTGGGTTCTTCGCAGGGTCCCCCTGAGAAGGAAGAGGCTACACGTAGCCTCAGGGGGTTATTGAACGGGTTCCCCGGGGGGTTTCACACAAGGTACTTGCCACAGATTATGTAGCCAGTCAATGGTAGACTTCATCTTTTGGTGGAACTGAGATTTGAACTCAGGGCTCTGCCACTGATCCATGCTTCCAGTCCTCCTGGACTTCCTATTTGGGGTTTCCTATGATAGCTGAGATGACAGGCATGTGCCACCACACGGGGCTGCTTCCCTCCAGATGCAGTCTCACTGACTTGTCTGCCTGGGCTGGCCTCAAACTGCAATCCTTCTAGTCAGCCTCCCAAGGATTTAAAATGTTGGGCACGAGCCACCAGCACCCGGCTAAACACTTGTTTCTGTAATGACGTGTCTAGGATATTGTTCCCCCACTTCCTCCCCATCTAGGATCTTCTTAGCAGGTAGCAACACAGTAAGGACCTCGGGGGGTGAAGGAGGGGTCAGACCTGCACAGGGGAGAGAGGACCCGGGGTACTCTGCGGGCCGCCTTCCCCACAGAGCGCGTTCTTTCTCCTCTGCCCTGTCGTACCAGGCAGCCCAGCGGATTTGTCCTTGAAGCTGCCTTTCCATGGAGTACTTTGAAAACAGAGTCAGCTTCCTCGGCTCAGTCCCTGTACTCAGCCACATCCACCGGGAAAGTGCTCCGGGATAACAAGCCTGGCTCCTAGCCTTTTTACCTCTCTGTGTCACAGAGGCCCTGGGATGTCATTTTTTCGGAAGTACTTTTTTTTTGGGGGGGGGGTCCGGTTATGGGGCCTGAGCTCTGGGCCTGGGCGCTGTCCCTCAGCTCTTCAGCTCAAGGCTAGCGCTCTACCACTTGAGCCACAGCGCCACTTCCGGCTTTTTTCTTTTTGCTTATATGGTGCTGAGGAATTGAACCCAGGGCCTCAGGCAGCATGCAAGGCAAGCGCTCTACCACTGAGCCACCTTCCCAGCCCCTTCGGAAGTACTTTGAGGATCTATTGCCTGGATATTCATCATCTTCCATTTCTCTCTCTTTTTAAATTTTGGGGTGTGTGGAGGGTATCCCCTGATTTTTTGGAATCTGTCTTTTCTCTTCCTCTCTCTGAACTTTATCTAGAAAGTTGTCCTCACCAGTTGTTATGAGCCCATGGTCAGGCCTGTAATCCCAGCTACTGAGTAGCCTGCCATCTCGCGGATCAAGGTTCAAGGACAGAAGGGGAAAGTCCATGAGACTGCCTTCATTTAAGCAGCAAAAAATAAAAGGTCTGGCTAGAGGTGTGGCTCAAGTGGTAGAGGGCCAGCGGGGAGCTGGAAAGCTGAGAGTAAAAGACCTTGAGTTCAAGCCCTGGTACAAGCATGGAAAAATAAACAGATAGGTAGGTAGATTGAGAGGTAGATAGAAAACAAAAGTTATGATAAGACATTGGCTCACAGGACATAATAAATTCCGAAGTCATCTGCTGGGAAAATCCGGTTAGAAGTCATGTTAGTGGAACAGACTTTCACTTCCATTCAGGAGGTACATTGATGCCTTTTAACTTCATTTCTTCAAGGCTGTTATGCTGGCTCTTTGTTTTTAAAACAATATATATGCCCTTCCCCCTGTTCTCTAACGACAGCCTAATTTTCAGATGGCTCCTACACCATTCTAACTTGGAGTTTTTCATGCATCATAGTCTTTCCCAAGATTCCAGTGTGTTGCCAGGAGATAGGGATGCTTGTTTGAATTTTCTTGCTTGGCCTGAGGCTCCCACTTTTGGCTTTTCGGTGGTTAATTGGAAATAAGAGTCTGTTACAGACTCTCCTGGCCTGTATGTCTTTGAACCACCATCCTCAGATCTCAGCCTCCTGAGTAGCTACAATTACAGGCATGAGCCACTGGTGCCTGGCTTTGTATCAGGAAGGACTAAGACTGGAAACATTCCAGATTAGAAAGAAACTAGAGAAAACGAATTCAATGACCAATCCTGGATTGAATCCAGAGGGAAAAAAGTTGTAAAAGGTCGTTACAGCTGGGAGAAAAGTCATTTTTTCTATCAAAATTTCTTAAAAGTTCCTCTTTTGCGTGGGTGGCTGGTCTCTTGTTGATTGTTCTGCTAAGACAATGTCCACACGTAAATAGGAAAAGAGGAACTGCTTTGGGATAAGGATTTTTGAAATGTAAGGTTTTTGTCTTTATTGTTCTAAGACGGAATTAAGACATAGGCAGATGGCTCCAAATATAGGGGAGACATGGTGTGGGTATGTTTTGAGTTCTTGAGTCCAGTTACTCTTATTTTTAAAGTCTTTTAATGATCACCTTATGTAAATATATCTTACCCTCTTCAAACTAGCCAATTATGATCAGACTATGAACCTGAGCTCAACCAATTGAGCAGAGGGGCGGGGCCTGTTGCTTTAGGGATAAACAGGATGCAGCCCGCCTGCTCTGCTTGTTTGCTATTTGCTTTTTTTTGGGGGGTCCGGTCATGGGGCCTGAACTCTGGGCCTGGGCACTGTCCCTCAGCTCTTCAGCTCAAGGCTAGCGCTCTACCACTTGAGCCACAGTGCCACTTCCGGCTTTTTTCTTTTTGCTTATGTGGTGCTGAGGAATCGAACCCAGGGCCTCAGGCATGCAAGGCAAGCGCTCTACCACTAAGCCACCTTCCCAGCCCCTTGTTTGCTATTTGCACCATTCACCTTGCTGAGACAATTCTTTTCTTGTTTATCACTCTAGGGGTTCTTGGAGAGCATATTTATAACATTGGGACTAATGGAATTTAACTCTATTAATACAGGTTATGAGTTTTACATCAGATTTGAATTTGATCTTATGAATCGGATGACTCTACTAGCTTTCTCAGGAAATGGGTTTTTTTTAGGTGCATGCACATTAGTTTTAAGAATATATGCTATAAACAGCCTCTTTTGGTGATATTTGAGTTTGAACTCAGGGCCTTGAGCTTGGCGGCTGCTTTACCACTTAAGCAGCCTCCCAGCCCTTTTCGGATTTTAGTTATTTTTTTTTTATTTTTTGGGTCCGGTCATGGGGCCTGAACTCTGGGCCTGGGTGCTGTCCCTCAGCTCTTCAGCTCAAGACTAGTGCTCTACTGCTTGAGCTACAGCACCACTTCCGGCTTTTTTCTTTTTGCTTATGTGGTGCTGAGGAATCGAACCCAGGGCCTCTGGCATGCAAGGCATGCGCTCTACCACTGAGCCACTTTCCCAGCCCCGGATTTTAGTTATTTTTAAGATAGGCTCTTGCATATTTGCCAGAGTCAGTCTGGACCTTGGTCATCTTATTTATGTCTCCTGCCTAGCTGGGCCAACAGACAGGTAACACCAAGCCCAGCTTACTGATTGAAATGGAGTCTTGTCAAATCCTCTCAAACTCCTACTGTGAGTAACTAGGCATGAGCCACCAAGCCTGGCCTGTGTGTGTGTGTGTGTGTATACACACATACATATATACATATACATATATGTGTGTATATATAATATATATATGTATATATGTACATACACAATGTTTTGTTTTTTGGTCAGTTGTGGGGCTTGAACTTTGGGCCTGGATGCTGTCCCTCAGCTCTTCAGCTCAAGGCTAGCCCTTTACCACTTGAGCCACAGCGCCACTTCTGGCTTCTTCCGCTTATACAGTGCTGAGGAATCCAATCCAGGGCCTCACGCATGCAAAGCAAGCGCACTACCATTGAGCCACCTTCCCAGCCTTACACAATCTGTTTTCTAATGACTCAGGAAACATAACAGACAAGAAAAAGGCAAGGAAGGGGAGGTGACGGGAGTAAATGCTGTCCAATGTCACCAAATGGTGAATCCGTGATGGATTTCCTGCAGCTCCTTGTACTGCTCTTGCCAATCTCTCTAAGCTTGAAGTTATTTCAAACTTAAAATCAGTGTGGTAGATCTATTTACGATGGACTCTTCTCCAAGATATACTACTGGTGAATCAAAAAGAGCAAGCGGCAGTATGAACTGCCACTGTACTCCACTGGCTACACACACACACACACACACACACTACATAAAGCCATTGAGAGGAACTTTCTTTGAGCCAGGTGTGGGGGTGTGTCTGGATAATTAGCCCCTACATGTAATGTTGACAGATTTTTCTTCCTTATTCTGCCACCCTTTAAAACTTTTTCACATCATTTTGGGTGGATGCTGGGGTTTGAACCCACAACTCTGGCATGAAGTCAAACAGTATGGCTAGGTATATGTGATGGCAGTTGCATATTAATGATCTATTCTTCAAATTTTAGTCCATTTGTAGTCATTTTCATGAATATTTTTTTGTCAGTCCTGGGGCTTGAACTCTGGGCCTGGGCACTGTCCCTGAGCTCTTCAGCTCAAGGTGAGCACTCTCCACTTGACCACAGCACCACTTCTGGTTTTCTGAGTGGTTTATTGGAGATAAGTCTCATGGACTTTCCTGCCCAGCTGGCTTTGAGGCTCAATCCTCAGATCTCAGCCTCCTGAGTAGCTAGGATTACAGGCGTGAGCCATCAGCACCTGGCTAGATTTACCTTTTTTCAAGATTTTCATATGTAGGCTTGTAAGTAAGATGATCTATATTCTTGTTACTACAAATTACCATAAAAAATTTAAGTTGGGTGCTGGTGGCTCACGCCTGTAATCCTAGCTACTCAGGAGGTTGAGATCTGAGGATCGTGGTTCAAAGCCGGTGCAGGCAGAAAAGTCTGTGAGACTATCTCCAATTAACCACCAGAAAACAGGAAGTGGTGCTGTGGCTCAAGTGGTAGAGCGCTCGCCTTGAGCTGAAGAGCTGAGGGACAGCGCCCAGGCCCAGAGTTCAGGCCCCACGACTGACCAAAAAGAAAAAAAAAAAACAAAATCTAGGAAGACAGTTTTATTCTCTTCAGAATGATGAGGGTGAGAAGAAAATGAAAAGAGATGAGGCAAATGTCACTTTTCAACTACAGAGAAACAGTGAATGTGGGCAATCTAAAGAAGGATGGTGAGTGCGGATTACAGGGAAACAGTTCCATACTAACAAGGCAGTTCATGGGAACGGGTCTGTTTCTGCACTGTAAGCAGGAAAAGGCATGCGAATGGCGTAGGCCATTCTGTCAGGTGTTCATACAGCACAAGACTTAGGGGCACAGGTGAGGCTGGTGTGCAGGGCCTTCAGGGGCTGTGGTTCTCATGTGGCCACAGAGTCTCGCTAGCACTTTGATTTTCTAGTCAGTAAAATAGATTGTAACATCCACTTTGTAGGACTGTTATAAAGCCTACATATATGTGTAAAATATGTAAGAGAAGTGGCTTGTAAAACTATCATAAAAATCAAATATCCAGACAGGCGCCAGTAGCTCACGCCTGTAATCCTAGCTACTCAGGAGGCTGAGATCTGAGGATCACATGCTGGTTCAAAGCCAGCCCCGGCAACAAAGTCCATTAGACTCTTATCTCCAGTTAACCGCCAGAAAACCAGAAGTGGTGCTCTGACTCAAGTGGTAGAGCGCTAGCCTTGAGCTGAAGAGCTGAGGCACAGCGCCCAGGCTCAGAGTTCAGGCCCCATGACCCGACCAATCCCCTCCCCCCAAAAATAAAAAAAATAATAAAAAAATTCAAACATCCACAATTCCTTTCCTGGCCAAGAGATTAAAAATAAAAGTAGAAAAAAAAGTACATATTGTACAAGATAGTGTGAAAAGGCATAGGTCTATCAATGGCTTATTTTAAAAAATGGCACTCTGAAAAATAAACAACACTCTGAAGATACCACATAATTCTTCAGGACAAGTAAACTCACTAAACATCTGTAAACAAGAATAAATTTATTTAATTTCTTTTAAAGATTTAATGATATACAAAATGTATATAGTATAATATCTTTAAGTAATACACTTTTCTCTCCCCCCCATCAATATGAAACACTATTTAAACAGCTTATCTCTGCTTGCCTTGTTGTATCTATGAGATACACTACGGAATACAAATAAGCTTTACACTGCTCCCTTCAAAATAAAAATTAAAATTAGTACCTAGGAAATAAAAAGAAAAAAAAACAGGAAAAAAATCAAAAGCATAAACCAGTAGATAAGCTTTTCTTGTAGTTGGATATGCAAAATATCTGGGCAGTTAAGTTACATCTTATTGGCATAAAGTGGCGTTGCAATTTCCCGACATCACGTAATAAAGCAACTCAACTGATTCTTGAATAAGTACCACAAGTGACATTCATGTTCAGATGTTTGGACACAATGGAAAGTTCTTAGGTTCTGATTGGATGTATTGGTCAGTAACAATTTTGGAGAAGTGTGTAACTTCTGGGTTGTCACTGCAGACACAGACAGGAAAAAAGTACTTCAACTTTCTCACAGGTATCTTCTCTGACAGGGGTTCAGTTCCTTTTGTCATGGCTTTCTTCTGCTACACAGTGACTTGATAATGTGTTTTTTAAAAAAATGCAACCCAAATAATTTTTACACAATTTGAGCACTAGTTAAAAAAAAAAAAAAAAA